CCTTGGGGGGGGGGGGCGGAGGGGGAGGAATACTTACCATGCGGCCTCCTACGCGATTCCAGGCGAAGCCTTATCTCGGAAATGCCGAAGTGATGATCCATCCGGCTAGTGCTGGAGAGCGAAGCCGAGTTACCGTGTGCGGAGATGCACGCAGAGATACCCTCATCTGATTTAGCCCCCGCCGGTCGACGCGATTACCGGAGTGTGGCCGCTAGACAGACAGGGAAGATTTAGGTGCAAGTTAATGGACGCCTGACGTAGTCTACACCTGCAAGCAAGTGAGCGACCTACAACGATCGTCACGTGGACTCACAACTGGACACCCCTATAAGGACACACGGTGATGTTGGAAGAGCAAAAAAGTTCCGAATTAGGAACCCTAGCCCGAACAGTGGCTGGCAGTAAGTGGAACCTTCGCCCGCCGGTCGCACAAAAGGTGACAGGCAGCGGAATTCACGCCGTGCACCACCGTGCAATGAAAACTTGCCTGTCCTCACACTAGTGAGCCTACCGTGCGACCCTCGGAGCAGCACTGAAGGACTCAACAGAAGCACACCGACAACTTTTAGATCCTGCGACACGTAAATCACAAATGGCCATAACCTTAATCGTAACGTCGCCATACCAGTTGCTGCTGCCGTTAACGAATTTCGACCAGTCCATATGTCAGTCAGAATACTGCACAGCAAGCCCTCGCAAACGATTAACCAAGATTTTAATCCTACACAGTACTCATTTAAACTTTACCGCTGTAAGTGCATATCCAATCAGCTGTTCATAGTTGGGTTTATAAAACAGCAATCGTCCCAAACAAGATTGGGGGGCTCTGGACCAAGTGTACGCCGTAATTAGACTAAATTTTTGAAATCATTCAGCTTCCTTAAGCTGTCCCACTGGTTTGAGTCCCTCCTTGTAAAACCGGGGCGAAAAGCAGGTAGGAGAAGGTGGGGTAACCTGCGTGGGCGTTTTATGAAATCGCCTCGGTCAGTCTATCGGCCATCGAAGATCTAACCTGGGAAATCGTGCACGACAAGTGCATAATGAGGAAACCAAGCGTGCCTAAACTCTCGAAGACCTCAGACATCAGGAGCCACCTCTGTTACAACAGCTGACGACAGGAAGGCAGGAGATAGATTAGGTAGATTTTTTTTATCCCAGCGACTTGAGTTTCTACAGTGCCAGCCCAAGTCATGACGTGCAGGCTGTCCTGCGAAACGGCGCGGGTAGCCGGCAGCTCAAAAATGAGGTTTTGTCCCCATTCAGTCCAGGCAGGACAAGCGAGGAGGATCCCCTGAATTTCCCCTTTCGTTATAAACCGGAAATGGAATCGTTCTCGCCGTTCCGCTTCAGTGAACCGAAGCACCTGAAGTCGAGTGGCGCAGCACGACCGAAGACGGTATTTTTTAGACGTTACACTTGCAAATGCCGCATTTTGGGCATGTTGTCGAACGCTCTGTTCAGGCTCTTCAAGACTAAGCACTCTCCCCGTCAGTCCAAGTGCCTGCTCTGAGAGTTCTCGGAAAACCATGAAAGATGCCTATTTTCACCACATGTTTGGGCCATGCTCTGAACTGCCCTACGAGTCACTGATCCGTCCAAATTGGACATTTCTGCTATCTCAGCAGAAGGTTAACTTCGTCGCATCTAGCTATTCTGCTATTCTCACGTGTGTCCTCCGCGCCTGCGTTCTCCCCGGTCGTCTTGACAATGTCATGCTATTGGAGCCTGGTGGTTGAGGGGAAGAAGGGAGTTCGGTAGATGCTGTACGAATCGGCCCCACACGCGTAAGTCGCCGGTCCTGCAGCCAGTTCGTAGCCGCTTGGAAAGCTCGAGGTGTCACTGTGTCGTCTGTCTTCACTTTGGTCAGCGGGGAGATTTTTAGCGGCAGGCAAGACACTGACCACTGGCTAAGTGCATGGGTTTGATGGCAAAAAAAAACTGTTCCCGCGTTGGAGCGATGCGGTAGTTCATTTGGACAACCTGGTTAATGGACATGCACTTCCCAGGAGGACTAAGGTACACGCATGCACGCGCGTAGGGCCTGGTGAGTGTACACTACCTCTGTGTCAGAGCCCTGTAGAACAGATACCCGTGGGATGTGTGGAGGGCATGTGAGTGAGTCTGGACTGTGCCCCAAAAACGAGCCACGCGTTAGATGCACTTGACCAGCAAGGGGGTTATATCGGGCCCAGACAAGCTTTATTGGACACACGCATCCGTAGAAACTGCCGAAATTGGTGTGGCGGCACGCCCATGCGCAGGTCCATGCCGCACCAGTCGGAATCCAAACCGCCCCCTCTTTGCTCCCGTGTAAAATCCTGGTCAGTGTACATTGTGAACCAGGGGTATGGTGACACGCCTAGGTGCGGGTTTTCTCCGTACCAGCCACCTGCGCCTTCTCCTGTCTCTGGTCTTTTTGACTCTGTCATGACACTGGGTTCAGGTGAGAGGAGAGGCAGAGAACGGTAGATACTGTGCAAGTCGACTACCACTATAAACTGATTCAAGCTTAAGTCACCGTCCCCGCTCTCACCGCCCTGTGGAGCACGTAATGGACATCCTCGGAAACGACGACGACGACGACGACGACGACGACGACGTCATCATCATCATCATCATCATCATCATCATCATCATCATCATCATCATCATCATCATCATCATCATCATCATCATCATCATCATCATCACCACTATCATCATATTATTATTATTAGTCTTATTAACGTTGTCCCCACTTCCTCTTATATTTATCAGACTTGGTGTCCACGGAAAAATAATTTACTAAGTGAAAAGATTGTCATTTTCGTGGAGTTCGTAAAAGTGTTGTCTTAGACCATACTTTGATTGTTGCATCAATTAGGTCAGAACTCTTGAGGGTCTTAGAACCAAGATAGGGCAGAAACTCGCACGGAAGCAAACTAGCCGCAATTTACTGACCTTGTTAACTTAAACAATGAATTGCGGAGATTCCGAAGAGATCCAATTTTACTCAGCCTACTTCGGAGACAGTGTGAATAAGAACAGAAACAGTAGATCGTAGAAAGTGTTATCATTTTCTCGGTCCGTGCGTGCTACATGCAAATGGGACATAAACATTGCGGTTATTGTGCCGAAGTTGGTATTGTTCAGCCCAAATATGTCCGTGCAAATCCAAGCTGGATACAAAAAGTCTGTCCAAAAAGCAGCTCACTATTTTTGATCAACAACTGTGGTCCGAATTAACCCGCTTAATTTGGAGGCAAAGACGTCTGGCAAGAGTGCTAGTTTTGAGGTAGTCTAAACATGCAATACGGTGGACGTGACTATCATAGGGCCTAGAAGAAATCGCTTATAGTAGTTATGGCTCGAGTCACATATTTTTTGACTGTGTATTTATTAATTTACTAGGACAAGGACACTTTGAAGAACTCGCTGAAACGACTGCAGACCAACCCGGAGACCCGGGAAGGCCTCGCCCAGAACAGACCGGCTCAGACATCTACGAAGCAAATGGGATCGCGCCACCAAAGCCAAAAGGGAGACCCGCAAATCACAAGTGCATCCACTCCTCGATGCCAACTGCCAGCTGCTTCCAAAATGCCCGCGTTACTAACGCCCACTCCGCGCGCGAATCGGTCTCGTTGGCCACCTTCGGACGCAATGCACCAACAACCCGTCAACGTAAACTTTTCCTCCAATTTCGGCCCCTGCTGCAAACACCGCGACGACGACGACCACCTCGTCGCCAATGATCATACTGTCGCTGCCCCGCGGCCATCAATCTTCGACATAATACGCCCTGCCCAAACCCCTACGTCCACTACAGCGAGCAGCATTACCAAACACCAGGACATCTCGAACTTCCCCCACCGATGGGACGACGTCCGACGACCCGCCATCTGCTAACATCATCACCAACACCCTCAAATCCAGCGATGGGAACTCGGTTTCAGGCCGCCTATATTTTGGTCGCACATTCACTTGCGAATCCATTACACAGAGACTGGCAAACCAGTGCCTGGAGCATCCACATACACTCGCCGCATCCGCCTTAACCGCCCTCGCACATTCAGCCACCGCATGAGCCTACTAGGTCACATGAGCATTCACGAAAATTTATGATAGACAACCGCGGACTACACCACACCAGCGTACCTTCCCCCACCAGCACCTGCACCGCACCTTGTGCATGTGAAGAGTGTGCATGCACTCTAGTAGTAGTGCCACTCAGTCTAAGACTGACAGGTTACCCAGCATTTGAAAGGTGATGACCCAGGCTAAATGCAGGGTTGCGTGTCACACTTCTGGACCTCAAGGATTGTGAGCGTCTGCTATGCTAGGATCAGCAAACCATGGCCCTCGCAGCCTGGTGTACGCTGAAAGTTCTCTGGCACCTGGTTCCCTGCCGGCAGATGTGCTTGCACCCCTACTGGGTCTACAGGTCGTGAGGATGGGTGTCCTCTCATCCTCGTCTTTCTGACTCGTTGTGGTGCTGTTGTTGGTTGAAATCCTAATTGGGCGTTCGCTGTGGACGAGAGGGTGTGGTGGTACGCCTAGCTGCGGGTTTGGTCGTACCAGCTCCTGCCTCCGGTCTTCTTAACTCTGTCTCGACATCGGGCTTAGGCGGGGGAGGAGAGAGTGCGGTAGATGCTGTGCAAGCATGCCATCACTATAAAACACATCCCGCGCAGGTCACCGTGCTGCCTCACCTTGCTGTGGAACACACTGTGAACATCGTCGGACATGACAGTCTAACCGTCGTGTGTGTGTGTGTGTATGTGTGCCCTCTTTGCCCTCTAAACGGGCCACGTCTTAGATGCGCTGGACCAACATGGGGGCCACATCGGACTCTGGCAGGCGTTATCTGTGCGCAATAACAAATGCCAACATTTGCGGGGTGCACTGGCGGACCCTGTTGTCGGCATTCGTCGCACAACTGGACCACTGTCACCACCCCATTGTTTTGTGGTCAAAATCCTGGTCATTTGTGTGTGGACCAGGCGGTGTGGAGTGGAGCGCCAAGGTGAGGATCCGTCCGAGCCATCCACCTGCGTCCTCCCCCGTCTCCGGTCTTCTTGACTTGGTCTTGACACCGGGCCCAGGCGGGGGAGGAGGAGAGAGTGTAGGTAGATGCTACGCAAGTCTACTG